AGTACCAGTACCACTCCAACCACCAGTAATATTCAAACTTCCAGTCCAGATGCTAGTGCCAGTACTACTCCACCTGCCAGTACCAGTACCACTCCAACCACCAGTAATATTCAAACTTCCAGTCCAGAAGCTAGTGCCAGTACTACTCCACCCACTAGTACCAGTACCACTCAAAGTACCGTAACGAACACTAGTGCCAGTATAACTCCAACCACCAGTAATATTCAAGCTTCCAGTAAAGATGCTAGTGCCAGTACTACTCCACCCACCAGTTCCCGTACCACTCCAACCACCAGTAATATTCAAACTTCCAGTCCAGATGCTAGTGCCAGTACTACTCCACCCACCAGTACCAGTACCACTCCAACCACCAGTAATATTAAAACTTCCAGTCCAGATGCTAGTGCCAGTACTACTCCACCCACTAGTACCAGTACCACTCAAAGTACCGTAACGAACACTAGTGCCAGTACAACTCCAGCTACAACCAAACCAGGTCATATATAATTATATGATAAACAGAATATTACATGGTCGCTACGCTCACTCGTGAGAGATCTTTTGAACGCTCGAAGATAAAATCCGTATCTCTGTGCGCCCATGTAATATCCACTAGTTAACAAAAAATATCGGAAAAAACACTTGCTTTTCAATCATATCCGTATATTCGCTCGATAATCAAACACGCGTGAGCCACATGTAAAACATACACGCGTGTTTATGATTGTGCATGTCCAGCAGAATCTAATTTCGAATCGAATCGACAACCATACATTTTATGCCAGTTCTGTGCTGGAGTTAGAATTCAAACGTTGCATGGCATTGCATCGAGTACCTGTGATGTTAATGGTCATGTTTGAATGTCTATTATGGACAGGTCAGTGTAAACATGAAGTCGCCATTGGAATACAGAGTAAGGCTATTATGCCTGGCACCTACATTACAGCCAGTACAAACAAAAACTATGCAAATATGGCAAGACTGAATGGTCATGAAGGCTGGTGGGACCTATGTGACCGGAATTCACCATGTAATGAACAATGGTTACAAATCTATGTGGGAAAGATTTCGAAGGTAAAATTGCACAAATGACAGTGCAGGCTATACCAATTGAAAACATTTTTTTCTTGTAAAACTCAGAGAGTTGCATTTTAGAATGTTACATTTATGATGCACAGCTATATGGACGTATTATTTTAATTGTTCTACGCAACAGATTACGGGCATTGACACACAAGGTACCAGTTATTACTACAAGTGGCATTTTTACCACATAGAGAAATACAGACTTTCTTACAGCATTGGGGGAATCACATTCATTGATTACAACAATAGCCAGGTCCTCAAAGGGAACACAGACTGGAATACCATTGTTCATAACGTCCTAACGCCGGCCATAACAGCAAGATATGTACGAATTCATCCCACGAAAGACAATGACAAGCATGGCTGGTTCGGATTGAGAATGGAGCTTTACGAATGTAAAGACAATGAAGGTTAGTGCACACAATACACCTTTTTCAACATTGCTCCCATATTCATTCACTTTAGGTAACGAATGTTTGTCTCTCTCATGTCAACATATCCCATAGTATGTTCTAGTTACAGTACATAGGAATACCATACCTAACAGCAATGAATATCCCTATCAATAGGTCAGTGTAAACATAAAGATGAACCCATTGGAATACAGAACAAGACTATTATTCCTGATAACTACATCACAGCAAAAACCAGTAGGAACAAAGAGGCAGCAAAAAAGGCAAGGCTGAATGATGCTGAAGGTTGGCAATTGGATTGTCCATCAAGGGGTACAACATGTGGTGATCAATGGTTGAAAGTCAATGTGGGAAAGATTGCAAAGGTAAATTGGCATGAATGTAAACAACGTCAACATCACATTATTCTACCATATAACAGAATAGCCTATTGTGCGTTCGCAACCTTCGGCCGAGCATCAGCAACGACATTACCCAGTTCTGAGTCCTGTGCCAAAGCAACGAAAACTCCTTAATGCTCTCCTCTTAGATGAATGGCGGTGTGTGGGTTTTTCGATCGCTCGGCTTGGACATGAATCTCTCGAAGCCAGCCAATGAAATTTAATTTTTGATTTAATCCATGTATCAATATATACGATTATCTACATATAGCGAGAAATAACTCGATAACATATGTGTGTTTGTCCATCATTGGCCAGGTTAATGTATTTCCATTTGGGATAAAAATACCACTGCCATTAGGGCGGTTAGGGTAGGGTGATATAAGACGATAATTACAGTAGTAGATAGAACGATTGAAGCGATCAACTAACTGATTGGTAACTATTGAAACGTGCTAGTTATATAATGGCTAATTGCCACGCGATAGCTAACATGATATCGATGTGCAAAGGTAACATAACATATCATACATTAGCAAAGCTAATATCATTTAATAAGTGTCTCATTCTTTTCAAAGTTGCATACACTTTCCGCGACTGATTTTAGCTCACACTTTACCACATTCTTCACAATGTCTCTATTTTTTATGTACATATATTTTTATACTTATTTTCTTTTTTCGTTATTTATTTTGTTAACTTAAAAGTAAAATGAGCAATAAAACAGTTTTAGTTTCAAAACACGTGACTCTGAATCAACAGATTACTGGTATTGCTACACAAGGCGTCTTTAGGAAAAATGATACAAATTGCTGTTGGATGGAACTGTACAGACTTTCCTACAGCAATGGAAGTCAATTCACTGATTACAAACAAGTCTTCAACGGGAACAAAGACAGTGATACAACTGTTTACAACGTGATTGCACCAGTCATTATAGCGATTTTGTTCGAATTCATCCTCTAACAGACTATTACCAGTCTGTTGACGTTGGGCTGAGRATGGAGCTCTATGAATGCAAAGATGAAGGTAAGACCACACAATACATGCATCCCAGGGTGCTCTCCGATCGTTGAGGTGGTTCCCCGTGTCGCTCATTGGGCCGGGAACGAAGGATCGCATGGACAGAACAGTTTTCTCTGATCACTGTCAATGCGAAAAAAAAGATTATAATAATTTTCTTAAGAACTTCACTTTTTCGGTTATTCATTTTTTAGAAATCTGATACTAACACGAAACTAGTTCTAAAAGACTTGACTTTCGAGTGGTAAATGATAAAAGAAATGGATCAGAGCCTATGAAAAGGCATCCTCAATTTCCCTGTTATTCATTCCTTTTTGATAAGTATGTATATGTCATGGTTAATCCCAGCAGTTAAGCGAAAAATATTCACAAGTATGCATGAAAACCTTGACTTTTTTTAATTAAAATTATCATTCGCCAGGAATATGTTCGTATCCTCTTGGGATGCAAAACAAAAGGATTAATGACAGTCAGATTACAGCCTCTTCACAATACAAGCTGCATCCACCATCAAAGGCAAGACTGAATGATCAAGGATGGGTATCTAAATATAACGACCAAAACCCATGGCTTCAGATTGATTTACATCAAATAAAAAAGATCAACGGTATTGCCACGCAGGGAGATGGATACTATTAGAATTATTGGGTGAAAGAATACCGTATTCAATACAAAAAAAAATGACACTATCGAACCTTTCCATAATTACACCGTCCATGCTGACCGTGAGCTTAAAACATTTCAAGGGAATATTGACAGCCACAACATCGTGTTCAATGCCCTCGATCCTCCAATAATCGCACAAATAGTTCRTATTGTACCAACGGTATGGAGACTGAAGTGGATCGCTCTTAGGGTTGAGCTGTATGGATGCCCATATAAGGGGGCCTACGATGGCTCTCTGCATGTATCGCGCAAGATCGGAATCCTCACCTCCAACTGAAAATTATCATATTCATTCAGTAACATCAGCAAAGTTCTACCGAGAACTTTAGATTAGTAGATAGATCGTTGATATACTTAATTTATATACTAAACATATCGGATGTCAACCGAACACCTGAAACCCATCTCTTTGACACCAATCCTTTCTAAAGTCGGGGAGGAGTTCATTATTGATGGCTATATCAAACCTGCCATTCTAGCAAAAATCGACAAGAACCAATATGGAAGTATCCCTAACTCTAACACCACGCTTGCCCTAATTAGCATGCTACACAGCTGGTACAAAGATACGGATGGAGCGACAGTGGGTGTAGTGTTATTCGACATTAAGAAAGCATTTGATCTCATTGATCACTCCATCCTCATGGCCAAGCTTCAGGATTACGACTTATCACCTTGGGTGCTGGATTGGATTGCTAGCTTTCTGACAGATAGGAAACAGCGGGTAAAGCTTTCCCACGACTGCTTTTCAGAGTGGGGTTCAGTCAAAGCTGGTGTACCACAAGGGACGAAATTGGCCAGCTGTACGGCTGCAAAGGATTTTAATAAAGCTATCTATCTATCTATCTATCTGACTGTCGCCGTTCTTCTCCAAATGAACCCCGAGCAAGTGGCAACACATGAAGGAGCATTAAATCTATAGCAGGATGTCGTGAATTTGATTCAAACGTTTTCGTAATCCATAAAGCAGTTGCTTACTGAAGACCACAGCCTACTTTAAGATATATAATGCTAATTACAGAACCTTACAAATATAAAAAAACGTCGTCGGCAAATCATGAAAACAGTTGAAAGTAAGTTGGTTTAGAACAAGATGAGAGCAATTCCAAGCAATTCCAAGTTATGATACGTGTAAAGATAAGACTGCATATCAATATCATTTGGTGTGCACTCGTTTTTGGCTGGCGTTTCAAGGTAAACGTTACGCAATCAAGATCTATAAGGTAGTACAKATGATGTTATGATACTATGTACGAGTTTTATAACATAACTAGTTATTATGATATTTCACTGAAATGAGATATGTTGCAAAAAGGAATGATTATTGATTACATTATTGATTATTTTTTGCCAACACAAAGCTAAGCAATTGTATCAAGAAAATTGCGAACACGAAGTGCCATTTTATTATTTTAATCTCAATCCCAAACAATCATTCGATGAGGTTATTTCAATATCGAAAATAATAAAGATCGAGGTGTCATTAGCCTATGAGCACTGGGAGTTCCATCTTTGTTCTTTTTACTGCCATAAAACATTTACAGGCAATTAAGACATGGAGCGCGCCCCCTAAAAATACCATTATTGAATTCATTATTAGATTCTTGGTCGATTCAACATTACATTATTGAAATCAAATTTGAATTCAAACTTCGAAATTTGATTGGATTATTGATCGGATTTTCATAAAGCCATCGTCGTATTTCGTTTGTAAACATGCTGGTCTTTTGTAATTTCCACAAGTCGATGCATTGCAATATGGTTGGATCTGTTCCTTCTCTCGTGCACTTCTCTCAAAAAGCTGGAAATGCTGTGTTGTTTTCTGTCATTATCAGAGTTCGAGATTTGAATTTAATTTTGCATTAATCAACTGGAGTTTGAAAACGAAAAATAAAATGAAAAATCCAATAACGCATTGAATAACGAACTATTCGGGGGGCGCGATTCATGTCTATTGACGACTGCAATAGTTACGGCCTGCTCACTTATAGGTACTCGAATTTTAGAAATAAAAGCGCGAAAAAGACAGTAAGCTGAGAACTGAATGAAAGAAAATGAAGGACTATGTTTTTTGAAAGATAGTAATTGAGGCTACTAGACGATGAGTACAATTCCTGCATGAGATCTTGGTTATTTCATACACTAATTACAAAAATATGCGCTGACCAATCAGAGATAAGTCATGTATAGTGAAGTTCTTTGTAGACTCAAATGCAATTTGGTGGAACGATAAGTATGATATCTCGTGCAATTTTGGCATTTTATTTACATTGGGCAACATTCATCAAACAAAGTTGATTAGAAATACCTGTCTCTCTGACGTCAATCAAGATCAATCAACAGTCAATTATTACGTATAGTTTAAAACACGATCTCGGTTTCAAACCTGAGACCTTTGCTAGGGTCATGGGCCTTTATATCTGATAAAGGTCACCCTTATTAGTATTCTTTATATAAAGAATACTAATGAGAAGTATTTTATCAGATATAAAGGTCCATGCATGTGACCAAATAGGCTCATTCTATTGGCCTAATAACTGGGTGATTTGAGAAAATGCGACTAGCCAATCAGCGCAAAGCTG